ATTTATTTGTATTCCAGCAACACCACAATCAGGATCAGGACTGAGTGTGGCAGGAGTTGTCCAAACAAAACGAAGGGCTTTGCTCCAAAAGATTTGCAGTTTAAGCATCGTTGGGGCTCCATCCTGCAGAGTGCTGAGCAATCCTGAAAGGTGACAATCCTACAGAACAGTTCAGCACATCCCTGACATGGACAGCTCCCATTAAAGACAATGGGTCCAGTTGTCTGCTTCTAGATAAGAATATCCTCATGTGCTGTGTCTAATTGGGGCTTCACAGGCTGATCCTGCCCGCAGGGAAGTCAAGGGCAGCATTCCTACCAGATTCAGCAGGCATGGGGTCCAGTGACAAGACAATTATCCCTGACTTATCATGCAACTCAAAATCACAAGGGTTTACTAAGGACTGGGAAGGCGGTGTGGGTCTGTAAGTCTGTGGTGGGATCCCCTGTGCCTTTTATTTCCATTTGGGTTTATTTGGGGGGAAGTAATGTCATTCTATTTTTAGTGGGAATCTAACTACTCTGTCATTTGCTTTCAAAAATATCTCAGCAGCGTTTTGAATTCAAGCCCTTTGAGAACTGATCACTTAGCCCCCCCAATGGCACTTTTCATGCCCAGGCACTTGGCACCCTTGTAAGCTGTAGATTTATAAATATTTTAACAGAGATATTTTGTTAGTAATTAGTAACCAGTGTGTGGAAATGGCTTTGATTCAGAACCATGATTATTAACGCAGTTAAGATGATTAAGCTGTATTGCAGAGGCACGCGCAACTGATTTTATTTACTCTTGATGAGGAGCTTTGCAGCTCCTATAAATTCATCTGTTAGTACCTGATTTTGCAAACACAACTACGGAGCAGAGGCTGCCATCCAGGAAAGCGCTTATGCCCACATTTAACTTTTAGCATGTGTTTAACCCATTGACTTCAATGGCTTAAAATGAAGCACCAGCTTCGTTGCTGTCTGGAATAGAAATGCTTCCCTGAATCAGGGCCAACATGCTTGCTGTTGAGTCATCTCAGTGACTTCAACTGATCGGCTCACAGCAGAGAGCTGTATACTTGGTAGTTAGTGCCTGCAGGGTTGGGAAGTTACAGCAGCTACAAAGAGCTTCTCAAGAATAAATAACTGTTTGCTGGATCCAGCTCTTAAACATTTAAAATGTGCATGTGCTGCTGCAACCAAGCAAGCCTGATCCAAAGCCGAGGAAGGTAAGAGAGAGAGTACTACATTGTGTTCAATGGGTTTAAGATCAGACCCTAATAAAGCAAGGGAGGGATGTAGCTTTTCATCCTTTGGGGCAAGGCTCAGTGCTGACTTTGCTTTCCATCCTGTGCCGCTGGAGTGCCATGAGTTTCCCTTTTGATTCCAAGGGCAGCAAGCCACTCAGCTCCTCCCTCAGGTCTGCATTGGCATGGGCTAGCACAGAAATGCTTTGTAAAGTGAGAAAAATGTATTAAATATTAGCAATGACCAAGGTTTCCCCAGAAGCCTGAGGGAGTGTGGTGCCAAGATCTACCTGGGACCCTCTGAACATTCCTACCCTGTAGCTTCATGAACAGGACCCTGTCACTGTGTCTGCATTTTAATACATCTCTCAGTCTGAAGCTGCAGAGATGGGTACCTTGGGAATGTGGCTGAAGCAATGCTATTAATAGGGGGGAAGCTATTTCCATTAATGGCAAAATATCATCATCATTGGCATTACAGTATATATTAATAAGAGAAGTAAACACACACATTTAAAATGTTGCCATAATCTCACCATCCAATCAAAACTGTGGATTCCAGATTTCAGTTCATAAGAGCAACAAACTGAGCTGAGAGAGTGTGCTTTTTAATTAGGGCTATTATTCAGGTAATCATATAGGGTGAAAATACTGGGTATATAGGCTTGATTCTGGCCCCTTCACTGCTATCAATGACAAATGATGTGTGGGGCTAAATCCTAGCTGTCAAATACCATCTGACCCTGGAAGGTGCTAAATACCTAGGCTTCAAGCCACTCAGGCACAGCATCTTATGATTAGCTTTCAAGCACATGACTCAGTCCTGTTGATCTCTATGGGATGACTTGCCTGCTTGAAGTTAAGCAGCTGTTTAAGTGCTTCTGCGATCTGGGGCCACAAGGCTCAGCTCTTTGTGTGCCTGAGCCCATGTATGGAAATTCAGACAGAATATCAGCTGGTCGTGGTAACGGAGTAACAGCCAAGTCTGCCAACTGGAGTGCAGGGGCTGGAAGGGAGCTGGACCAGTGGCCAGGGCACCCAGCTGGGATTCAGGATTGCTTGGATTGGATGCTGACTGGCTGCATCACTTCAGCAAGCCACCTCCCCTCTCTACGCCAGTCCTGCCTTGTTGTCTCTGCAGACTGTGAGTCCCTTGGGGGAGGGTCTCTCTCATCCTGACACAAGGTGGTTTATCCTAGGTAGGTCCTCCAGTGGCTCCTGTTTAATAAATAGTATGAGCAGTTTTATCAGTCCCGCAGCAGGCAGGAGCCAGGCCACAGCCCCAAGTTGTGGACAGAGGCAAAGGGCACCTTATCCTGTAGGAATGGAAAGGCCAAGGACAAGTTTGCTGTTGAGGCCAGACCCTGCTCTTTAGTATATGCTAAGGAAAACTTCAGAAGAAATACTGGAGGAGGAAAAAGCACGTCCTCTGGTAGATATGTACAGCCACAGAATATACAGCCTTGGAGGGGAGGGGAGTGATTCTCAGACTTCCTTTACCTACAAATGAATCACTGAAACGCAGCCCTAACTATGGTGGCACGACTGCACCACTATAATAGTGTGTGACACCAAAGAATATTAAGCTCAGGTGACATTTAAAGTGTGACAGGAAAGTCACCATTAACGCTGACAATCTGTGCCTTAAATCGCGCACAGTTTTTCTTTGGGGAGGCGGGATTACAGTGACACAATGTACAGAAAGGCAGATTTAAGAGTCTAAAACAACCTCTTACGTTTTCTGGCATCCTTAGGGCATTTCCTAGTAGGATCTCAGAGAGCTCTGCCAATTGTGGGGCAGCACTGCCATGCTGCCAGCCCAGGGCTGGGGCATGGGGGGGAAGAGGGGACAGACAGCTCGGGAGAACACAGACAATGAGTGGAGGGGGAGGACATTTGCTAGATACTGGGGCAAACCCCTTTGGAGAGTGGTTTCACGCCCGTGTGGCAGGAGCCTGGGTGCTCTTATTGTTAACATTCCTGCATGGAAATTAATCCTGGCAAAGGGGCTGAATTAGGAACTGGGGGGACTAAACCATCTGTGTGTGCCCAGACCTAACTTTCCACAAAGATGATGGACCTCACTCTCTCACCCCAGGGGAGATGCTCCTGACAAGGCAACTTCATTGATGGAAAGGCTCAAAAGGGCCACTGGGATGACCCTACATAGTGCTGACTGGTGAGCCCCATCCATGATTCCTACTCTGTCTGACTGAGCCTCCCTTTTCATAGATTTCATAGACATTAGGGCTGGAAGGGACCTTGGAAGATCATCGAGTCCAGCCCCCTGCCCAAGGGGCAGGAAGTCAGCTAGAGTCATAGGATCCCAGCAAGATAAGCATCCAAATTTCTCTTGAAGGCGTTCAATGTGGGTGCTTGAACCACCTCCAATGGCAGGCTATTCCAGACCTTGGGGGCTCGGACAGTAAGGGAGGGGTGCCCCATTTGATGTGAGATCTTTGAGGTCTATTTCCAGGGCACTTCTAGTCCTTTGGCCTCCTGGGCTAATAGAACAACACTGAATGTGGCTGAAAGAAGGAACCAACCTGTTCTTTTAACACACCTTTCAGCTTTGGGCCTTGAAGTGCCTTAGGAAGGAGGGTATTATTGGTCATCCCATTGAAGCACTGGAAGGGGTTACCTAGAGAGGTGGTGGACTCTCCATCCTTGGAGGTTTTGAAGGCCCGCCTCAACCAAGCCCTGGCTGGAATGACCTAGTTGGGGCTGGTCCTGCTTTGAGAAGGGGTTGGATTAGATGCCCTCCTGAGGTCCCTCCCAACCCTCATTTTCTATGATTTTACAGAAGGGGAAACTGAGGCACTGAGACTCTTCCCATGTCTCCATGGCCTGGGCTATAGGGAAAGCATGGGTGGGGGGGGCTGGCTTCAGAGCAGGACTGGGACCCAAATGAACTTTCCTATACTGCCCCTGCCACTGCCTAGCAGTGCGACTTAGATGCAGCCCCTCGCTGCTTCCCCATTCTCCTGCCTTGTTTAGATATGAGTCTTTAGATCAGATTTAGATCCAAGGCTATTTGGGGGCCAAGAGCCAAGCCTCTCGCTGTCTGTGCAGCCCCCAGCACCAGGGGGCTTTGGGCACTGAGGTCCTTCAGGCATCTCCTAACAGAGAAGGTCAGAGGAGCTGGGTGCAGCTTCTCCTTGCCGCCTCCATCCTGGGGATCTGGCAGGGAGGGGTAGAGTGGACCTTTGCTGCTGGGAGCTGGGGCTTGGGGCGCCCGGGGACACTTGAGGAAAGTGGAGCGGGTGGCTGTGAGCGGTGGGAGGACCCGGGCAGCCCCCCGGGGAAAGCAGCAGCCCCTGGCCAGGGGCAGAGCCAGGCGCTGCGAGGAACTTGCAAAAGAGCCCGATCCCTGCGCCTCCGAGCCTCACAGCGGGGCAGAGGCAGCTCGGGAAGAAGTTGCCGACCCGGGCAGATCAGGCAGCTCCGGTCCCTGCCACCCAACTGAGCTTCCCCGCTGAGATGCGGCTCCCCCCCCCCCCCCCACCCTCCCCCCCACCCCCGGCCGCTGCTGCAGGAGGAGGGATAAAGCCCCGTCCATCCCGCGGCAGAGCGGGCAGACAGCCAGGTGCGTGTGTCCGCTCCGGGGGACAGCGCCGGCTCCGCGAGGCGCCCGGGGCGGCTGCAGCAGCAGCTGGTGGGAGGCAGGGCTCGGAGCCCGCTGGGGCAGGCTGTGTCGGTCTGTCCCGGGGGGTGCAGAGAAACTTTTTCCCGGGGCGATCGGAGCCGGGGGGGCCGGGCCCGCGCTTACCTGCCCGTTCTTGCAGAGATCGGCCCACATGCTGGTGCCGTCGCCGCCGCGCATGAGGACGTGGTAGGTGAAGAAGTAGGTGCCGGGGATGTTGCAGGTGAACTTGCCCGTGGCCGCGTCGTAGTGGTTGCCCAGGTTGGTGACCACGTCGTCGAACTTGAGGATCTCGTAGCCCTCGTGCGGGTTCTTGAGCCCCGCGTAGAAAGCCACGCGCGGCACCGTGGTGTAGGTGGCCGTGCTGATGGCCCCGCTGCCCCCGGGCCCCGGCAGGCCGGGCGGGCCCGGCTTCCCCGG